TGCCAGGTCCTGTCTGAGGTGGTGCTGGTGTTTGGGTTGCTAATTTCTGGCCGCTGCTTCTGCAGGTATCGGCTGGATCCATGTGTTCTGGTAGTGTACTCCGACACTGAGCTCTACAGACACAAAAAGAAGAAGAAGAAAAAGAGGAGGCACTCAGGGAAATCAGAAGACTCTGTAAAAGAACCAAGACTGTACTTACTGAAGGCCTTGAGATGTGAGACTGTCCACCATTTCCGGAGACCCGAGGGCAGCTTCCTGCTCTCCAGTGGCCTGGCTGTGGAGGGCGTTGGACCTTTCCAAAAGAAAACCAAGCATTTAAGGATGGAGAGCAGGGCCGACAGGTGCCACCTGTTAGAGTATGGCCAGGGTAAGAGGAGATTCTTGGAATTGAGAAGAGAATAACATTTGATAAGTTTTTTTGGAAATGGCGACTCACACATGGAGATGGAACTTCAAGTGCCTTGAAAGGGCACTGGAGTAACACAGGGCTCCGGCCTCACCCCCTGTTGACTCCCAAACTCTGTGTGAATCGTTTTCCCTGTATAGTTTGGGTACTTGATGCTGCTCCCTTAGCACTGAAGGATGGTGACGTGGACCTGGAATTTATGGCGCTCTGGGTGTCTGAGTATTTGCTCACAAGGGAGAATTTCTCTGTTTTCCAAGCATTTTTGGTAGCGATGCTTTTGCACTATTTGCTTTACTCTGCTGATTCCTTAAAGCACCCGGAATGTATCCTAACTCATAATATGACAACGTGGGCTGTTAGAAATGTTAGCGACCACCTCTCCCAGTGATGCCTTTGAGGCTCCTGGCATCGCTATCTCACTCCAGGCTACTGGGCAACTTGGATTCTTGAGTGTAGACTGTGTCTTCTCGTAATTTAGCGGGTGTTTGTGCTCTGATTGTTCTTGGACAGCCCCTCCCCCTTTCTAACTGGTTCCCTGCCGAGGATCCCTCAGAAGCTTGTTAAGAATGAAAGTGATAGGATTCGGGGCCTGGGGCACAGGTTGGCAAGCTGTTTCTCGAAGGCCAAAGCTGGCCCTGCACCTGTCTCACATCACCTGTGAGGTAAGAATGGCTTTCATGTTTTCAAAACTTCCAAAGAGGAACAGTACTGCGTTTCACCTGAACAGTGTGTGAAATTCAGATGTCAGTGTCTGTAGACTTTGGCTGAAGCACAGCCCGTGATCTGCAAGCTGCTGTCACTCTTGACGGGGTGAGCAGTCGCAGACGAGATGCACAGCCCTCCACACTCTTAAGTGTTTGACACGTGGACTTTCACAGAAAAGGAAGTTTGCTAGGCTCTGCCCTAGACACTGAGGAGA